CGCTGATCAGTTTCAGCAGCAGCTGACTTGGGGACGCCTGGGTTTCTTAAGTTGAATCCATATGTAAGTCAGAACTGGCGTCCAAATTCAGCCGCTGTTGAAACTGATCAGTTTCAGCAGCGGCTGAATCTGGAGGCCAGTTCCGACTTACATACAGATTCAACTTAAGAACAAACCTACAGTCCCTATCTTGTACGTAACCCGGGGACTGCCTGTATATCACATCCACTGACTTTCCCATGTCCACAGAGCCAGTTACCTCATCATAGAAGCTAATCAGATTGGTCAGGCACGACTTGCCCTTTGTGAATCCATGCTGACTATTCCTAATCACTTTCCTCTCTTCCAAGTGCCTCAAAATGGATTCCTTAAGGGTCCCTTCCATGATTTTTCCAGGAACCGAGGTAAGACTGACCAGCCTATAGTTCCCTGGATCGTCCTTCTTCTCTTTTTTGAAGATGGGCACTACATTTGCCTTTTTCCACTCATCCGAGATCTCTTCCAAGCTCCACAACTTTTCAAAGATAATGGCCAAAGGCTCCTCAAAGACATTTGCCAACTCCCTCAGTAACCTCGAATGCATTAAGTCCATGGATTTGTGTACATTTAGCTTTTCTAAATAGTTCCTAACCTGTTCTTTACCCACCAAGGGCTGTCCATCTTCCATCCCATCTTGCGTCATGTAGTGCATTAGTCCGGGAACTGACCTTGTCCATGAATATAGAGGCAAAGCATTGAGTACTTCAGCTCTCCCCACATCATCTGTCACTAGGTTACCTCCTTCATCCAGTAGGGGCCCCACATCCTCTCTGATCACCTTCTTGTTAACATGCCTGTAGAAACCTTTCTTGTTATCCTTCACGTCCTTTGCCAGTTGTAATTCCAGTTGCGCTTTTGCCTTGCTGATAACCCCCCAGCATTCTCGAGCTATGCATTTAAATCCCTCCCTGGTCATCTGTTCAAGTTTCCAATTTTTTTAAGCTTCCTTTTTGTGCTTAAGTTCACCAAGGATTTCCCCTGTAAGCCAATACAGTCTCCTACCATGTTTGCCTCTCTTGCTACACATCAGGATGATTTCTTTCTGTGCCTTCAATAAGGCTTCTTTAAAATACTGCCAGTTGTCCTGGACTCCTTTCCTCTTCATGTTAGCATCCCAGGGGATTCTGCCCTTCAGGTCTCTGAGGGAGTCAAAATCTGCTTTTCTGAAGTTCAAGGTGTGTATTTTACTATTCTCTTTTCTTCCTTTGGTCAGGATCCTGAAATCTACTATCTCATGATCACTGCTTCCCAGATTGTCACTCACCTCTGTTCCCCTATTAGGGGAACTCCTCTGTTCTTTCAATTTTCTTTCGAAAGAACGTGATTACAGTGTGGACGTAATTGAAGTTTTTTTTAGGAAAAAAAGCATTTTTTCAAAAAAAAAAACCCTCTGTAGTGTAGACATACCCTGAGACAGGGTCCTGTTTGCTAAATCAAGGGGAAGACCCTGAGTCAATTCAAGCTAAGTTTTTTTTTTATATATATAAAAGTCCTTTCTTTATCTCTCTGGAAAACTCAGTTTTAACAGATATATCCAAATACCATGGGGCAATGGTTCTCCAGAGTTGTTTACACACTCCAGGGTAATTACCCTCCACTGCTTTTAAGTCCCAGGGGGTACGTCTACACTGCATCCCTAGTTTGAACTAGGGATGCAAATGGAGACAATCGAAGTAGTTAATGAAGCGGGGATTTAAATATCCCGCGCTCCATTAACATGATCTCGCCGGCACGCTAGTTCGAATCACAGCTGATTCGAACCAGGAAGTGCGCGCCGGGACGCGTTAGTTCGGACTAAAGCCCTTAGTCCGAACTAATGTTACTCCTCATTTTTTGGTTCGAATCAGCTTCCTGGTTCGAATCAGCTGTGATTCGAACTAGCGCGCCGGCGAGATCATGTTAATGGAGCGCGGGATATTTAAATCCCCGCTTCATTAACTACTTCGATTGTCTCCATTTGCATCCCTAGTAGGAACTAGGGATGCAGTGTAGACGTACCCTAGAGGAGCTGTGATAGCCCTCCCTTATGGAGTAGGACACAGAGAGACAAAACCATTAATAAATTCAATATAGTGGTCCCCAAAGATACTGCACAAGATTGCAGAATCAGTCACAAGAATTATGCAAAAAGCAAACAAAAAACAATAGTAATATCTTTTTTCCAATTTCTTTCAGTTAAAATATTGGTAGGTATTGATTTTTAAAAACAGTAGGTCGAGCATTTACAACAGAAAGTGATTGTTAAAGTTAACTTGTGCTCCCTCTCCTGGATCACTAACAGCAGAGCACATAGTATTTTCTAGCTGTTGGGGTTGAGGTTTGTTGAAAAAAAAAAAAAAAAAAAAAAAAGCTGGACCACAGAAGAAATTTTCTACATTGTGATTCTGACTGATTAAATTTCGGACCCAAGTTACTCAACAGCAATCTTTTAACTAAATAAATTGTGATTCAACAAATGAGAAACATTAGAACTGTATTTTGGGGTCTTTATTACTGAGGTTAAGGGTTGCAAGCACCTATTTGTTTCAACAAGTCTTTACAATTCATATGAAGTACGTAGCTATGTTTTGAGATAACGAACTCAATATTAAGTGTTACATCCCTTTCCAAAATTACTTTCTCTTGAAAAGTAATCACTGAAGGAACAAACCAAAATGACTACTCCTTAATTTCACAATAAAGATACCTAAGATAAAATTGATTGATGTTTTTCTCTCTAGCAGTAATAAATGTCATTCAGCTGCAGAACAGAAAAGGAATCAGCTACCATTTTTTGTACCGTAATGATAACTGCCAGTTCTTTCCTTTTAAAAAAATCCTTTATGACAAAAGAAGAAATTAAAAAAGAAAAGCAATGGCACAAAGTTGGGAGCAAAATACCACACTGAAGATTTTCAAGGTAGTTTCATTTACAGGAAAGACATTGCTTAAAGCTTCAATACTGATGGTCTGATTCTGCCAAGTCTGTCTCCCTTTGTGGTTATTAAGAGTAATGCATACATATTCAGTGGCAGAGTTTGACCAAAGACTCCAGTCTTATTGAAGTGCTTGTTATCCTTAACTCCCACTGACCCAAATGGAAGTTTTGAAGCACTTAAAAACTCATAGGCTGTTGTTTTTACCAAGCAGGATTGAGCACCAAGCATGAAGCTCTTCTAGTGCTGAGCAACAAATGCATTCTAAACATTTCATAAAGATTTTTGACATGAGTGGAAATTCTAATCTATATTTCAGTTCTATTTAAAGCATCTATATTGCAAATAATGTCCCATAATAGTCAAATGCTTATATTAAACTTTGAAAATATAACATATTTATGTAACCCACTAACCAGCTCAATTGTGGAATTCAGGGTCTGATGTTTGGTAGGAAGCTCAGTATCTGTTGCAGACTATTTAATAAAATAAATGTTGATAGACCTTATATAAACAACATACATGGAGAGCAAATACATTTTAAAATTTAATTCAGGACTGAGCTAGCACAAATCACTGATGGTAACATAGATCATGGCACAATTCCCATTGAAATAATGGAAGCAGGATCCAATCCTAACTACAGAAAACAGCATATTAATTGTTCATGCAATAAACATTGTCTACACAATATTTTATTTATACTCGAGTCTTGATCATATCAAACATTCTTTAACTTTTACTTGAAAAAAAACAAGTCAAAATGATACATACTAGGATCCCTGATAGTATTTTAGCA